ATTATTATTATTATTATACAATGGCTTGAACAATTCTTTTTATCTTTGTTTATCTTTTTTTATTTTTGCCTTCATCATATTATTAGAATCATAGAATCATAGAGTTGGAAGAGATTCCAAGGGCCATCCAGTCCAACCCCCTGCCATACAGGAACTCAAAATCAAAGAATCCCCAACAGATAGCCATCCAGCCTCTGTTTAAAGACCTCTGATGACATGATTCTTTTCCTGAAAGCTCTATATACAGAGAAACCATTTCCGTGACAATTTTTTTTTTCATTGTGGGTATTCACACTGTATTTTGCTGATCTCTGATCTAGATCTTAAATTTTGTGTCCTTTATTTTGATTCAACAAAGTTTTTTTTCAGATACATTTTAACCTGTTTATCTATGTGAGGATGTTTTTATTAAAAAAACCTATCTACTGTTTGCTAAGTGACTGCTCTTAAGATTGTCATCACTGTTTGTATCTTCTGCATTTCATTTACCCCATGTTGCCCTCTCAGTCAAGTGTGTAATAGGTATCTGCAGGTTGGAAAAAAAGACAGCTGATGAAGCTAACAACAGTTCAGGAAAGCTTATGCCAAATTAAAGCATTTCAGGTTTTAAGGATCTGGTAGACTCTTTGTTTTTGTTTCTCCTGTGACAGACTAATATAACTATCCCCTGGATTTTTTTTCTTTTCATTTTGTGGTTATCTGATGATCACATAGAACACCAATGGTATCTCTGAGGGTCAGATATAAGAAAAAGGGGAGTTCTGCCTAAACAGAAAAAGCAGAGCTGGTAGGTAGAATCTAAGTAGGTAGAATCAAGTGCAAGTAAACACATCACATGCAGTAGGCTAGTAAACTTACTTGTCAAAGGTATAAGACCATGGATAGCCCCAAGTTAGTTTTGCTAGCCAGTGCTCTCTCCCACTGGAATCCCATGAAGATGGTACCTCAGTAATCAGCAAAAGTCAACTTTTTACACTGACATGGAGAGCTGGTGGGCTTTTCAAAGCCCCCATCTAATTTTGTATGCTCAAGCTTTTACAAGGGTGGAAAGATGGAGTTTTATGTTGTAGGTTTATGCTGTGACTCAGTATGAAGTGATGTAGTAATGTCTTCCATTGTTGGCATGTCTGGGGGATGAGTATGGAACTGATTATTCTTTGTTAAAAGAAATAAAAAATAAACAAAAAACCCTAATATGATCCTTCATTATAATTTCATCAGGTTTTCCACCAAAGTGTTCTCTTCTACTCTGCAGCCTCCCATCAAGAAACCTGATGAAGACAATCTTTGGGTCCTGGACAAGTGATCTGCCTATTTCACTTACTATAATGCTATTCTTATTACTATTCTTATTTATTCATTTTTATCCTGCCATCGCCCAATAATGGGGCTCAAGATGATTAAAATATATTTAAAACAATACAAATTAAAACAATAAAAAGATTAATAAAAGTATACTTTTATAAAAAAAACAATTAAACAATTTATGAATTTAGAAACATTACACATTAAAATATTTAAATTTCATTTTTGAAAACTTTGTATACCAGTCTTAAAAAGGAATTGCATGACATTAGAAGTCTGACCCTAACTCATTTATAAAAGCCTAATGGCATAGAAATGTTTTCACCTGGCATTGGAAGGAGACCAAGGACAGGGTCATCCTGCCCTCTCTAAGAAGTGAGTTCCAAAGTCCAGAAGCAGCCACCAAGAAGCACTTCTCCCTTTTTCTCACCAAAAAAGCCTGGGAGGCTGGTGGGGCAGAGGGAAGGGCCTTTCCAGATGATCATAGATCTCTGCTGGACTCATAAAAGAAGATACTGTACTTTAATTAATCTGGACATAAGCCATATAGGGCTTTATAGGTCAATAGCAGCACTTTAAAATGTGCCTGGAAATGGACCAGCAGCCAGTGGAGCTGTTGCAACAAGGAAATTGTGTGCTGCCTGTGTGTTTCCAGTTAACAACCTGGCTGCAGCTCTTTGGGCCAACTGACATTTCTGAGCACTTTTCAAAGGCAGCCCCATGTAGAGTGCATTATAGTAATCTAAATGGGATATAATCAAGGAATGTACCATTGTG